TTTTTTTGAGTTGGAGTCTCACTCTGTCGCCCAGACTGGAGTGCAGTGGCCGCTCCCGGGCACCTGCTGGGCTCCAGCGATCCTTCTGCCTCAGCCTTCCGAGTAGCCGGAATTACAGGCTCATGCTACCATACCCGACTAATTTTTTGATTTATTGTAGATGAGGTCTCGCCTGCCCAGGCAGGTCTCGAACCCACGGGCTCAGGCAATCCACTCACCTCAGCCTCCCAAAGGCACGGGATTACAGGCTGAGCCACCGAGCCCGGCTTAAAGTAAATTCTTCAGGCAAAAGGAAAATAGTTCTAGTTAGCAATTTGGATCTATGCAAAGTAAGACAGAGTGTTGGAAATTGGAAATGTGTGGGTAAATAGAAAATATTTTTACCTTTCTATATAGTGTGTGTATATATTATATATATACATACACATGTAACATACTATTTCTCTGAAGTATTTGTATGTATAAGCAACACACAATTGGAATTTGAAATTGAAAATCAATACTATTTACAGTAACATTAGGGAATATGATATCCTTAGGGGTAAACCAAAATATGTATTCAACCTAACTAAAGACCACAAAGTGTTACTGAATTAAAGGAGACCTAAATAAGTGATGAGACATGCAACTTTTATAAATCAGAAAAGTTACTGTTGTTAAAATGTCACCTCGCCCCAAATTGTGTATCAGTCAAAATCCCAGCAGCTTTTCTGTAGAAAGTAACAAACTGATTAGAAAGACCAGGCACAGTGGCTCACACCTATAATCCCAGCCCTATGGGAGGCCAAGGCAGCAGGATCACTTGAGGCCAGAAGTTCAAGACCAGCAACATAACAAGACCCTGTCTCTACCAAAAAAAAGTCCTGGTGCGGTAGCTCAGCCTTCTAATTCCACCACTTTGGGAGGCCGATGCGAGAGGATTGCTTGAGTCTGGGGATTCGAGAACAGCTTGGGCAATTTGGTGAGACCTCATCTCTACCATAAATCACAAAAAAACTAGCTGGGCATGGTGGCATGCTTCTGTAGTTCCAGCTGCTTGGAAGGCTGAGGTGGAAGGATCTTGCTACTACACTATGGTCTCGGTGACAAGAGTGAGACTCCAACTCAAAAAAAAAAAAAAAATTAAAAAAAAATTAGCCTGGTGTAGTGGCACACAACTGTAGTTCCAGTTACTTGGAAAACTGAGGACTGCTTGAGCCCAGGAATTCGAGGCAGCAGTGAGCCATGATTGTGGTCACTACACTCCAGCCTGGGTGATAGAATGAGAACCTTGACTTAGGAAAAAAAAAGTCAAACTCGTAAGAGTGGAGTCAGGGTTAAAATGGCAGCAGAGGAGGCTCTTCTGGCTCAGTATATTCTATAATGGTAACTAACATCATTTACCATTATTGCTCAGTTTACAAAATGGTAAATATTACTTCTATGGAGTTACAATAACGAGTTGTGGCAGTTACAGCTTTCTTTTTTAGTTTCCTATCTTTAAGAGTCAAAGGGTCATTATGGGTTTCTTACAGTTTTGTTTTTTTTAAATGAAGGCTTATATGATCAAGTTTTGTACATTTATATCTATTGTATATTTATATATTATATCTGGATTCATTGTGAATAGATCGCTACTACATTTTATGGGTCTGTTATTGTATTTTCATAAGCTTTTGGTCATATCATTTGAATTAATAATAAATGAGGCTTGGGGAATATTTGATTTTATCATCTTTTTCACCACAATTGTTCAATTAAAGCATGTTTTGAAATGTTAAGTTAGAGGAATTCTAGCCACTAATTGCATGTTTAAGCCTCATAATGCATGTTTAGTTTATTTTTGTTTTTAATTTTTTTATCATTTTAGTAACAATGATGATGTTATGTTGATTTCTGTGGGAAGTCCTAACTTGACAACTCCAATTACCTCAAATCCAACAGGTATCTTAAATTGATTAGAATATGATATATCAAATTAGAAAGCCTTAAATCAGTGTTCAAGATAAAGAATTGAGTTATATCTTCTAACAAAAATTTTAAATCTACTTTCAGAATTGTTCTAATTTATATCATGATTAATATTACCTAAATAAACAATTAGTTCCTTAATATAGTTGGCATTTATTTTTAACCTTATGCTTTATCAATTTATGGCCTTCTGTTTTTTTACTGTTCATTTAATGACTTTGCAAATTGTAAAACGACTTAACTTTTATGTATATTATTTTTAATTGTCCTGGCCTTTTGTTGATGGTTGTGATGGTTTGTTTTTTGTGTCTTTTTGTTTTACTTATTAAATTATCTCATAGTCACTTTAGATTGAAAGCTTGTCTAATATTTTATTATCATTGACTTTTTTAACTTTTGGCAGTTTTTTAATCATGCTTTGGTTGCTTTTTAGAGTTTGTGTCTTGTTACACATAAGTAAAAATCTTTAACCTTTGATTTCCAATGGTAACTCTTTTATCTCTTAAAATAACCTTGTTTGGCCCAAATTTTGTTGTTGTTGTTGTTTTTTTGAGTTGGAGTCTCACTCTGTCGCCCAGACTGGAGTGCAGTGGCCGCTCCCGGCCACCGCAGCCTCGACCTGCTGGGCTCTGGCAATCCTTCCGCCTCAGCCTTCCAAGTAGCTGGAACTACAGGCGCGCACTACCACACCCGGCTGATTTTTGATTTATTGTAGAGATGAGGTCTTGCCAAGTTGCCCAGGCAGGTCTCAAACCCGCGGACTCAGGCAATTCACTCACCTCAGCTCCCCAAGGCGCGGGATTGCAGACTGAGCTACTGAGCCCGGCTCCCAAAATTAGTCTTCCAAAATTTTCCATTTTCATTTTTTTAACAGTATTACAGTATTTGCATCCTGATTTCAGAAGGCTTTGCTTTCACTTATATAGTTACTTAATTGTCCTCATAGTTTGGAGCTGTTAAGACTGAATCAGAACTACAAAGAGACTGGGTGTGGTGGCTCACACCTGTAATCCCAACACTTTGGGAGGACTCAGCAGGAGGATTCCTTGAGCCCAGTAGTTCAAGACCAATCTAGGCAACACAGTGAGACCTCACCTCTACAGAAATGTTTAAAAAGTAACTGGGTGTGGTAGGGTGTGCCTATAGTCCCAACTACTGGGTAGGCTGAGGCAGAAGAATCACTTGAGCCCAGGAGATCAAGGCTGTGTGAGCCATGATTGTGCCACTGCACTCCATCCTGGGCAACAGAGTGAGACCCTGACTTTAGAGGAAAAAAAAAGAATTACAGAGGATGTTAAGCATTTATCTGAGGCTACCTGCTGGTTCCTGGGAGACATCTCAGGAAGTTTATTATAAAGATATTGTGAATTTAAATGTGGGCATTTCCAGTTGTATTTTCTCAAATGCAAATTTCCAAGTGTATTTTCCTAAATGCAAATTTATACATAGAATTTCAGAAAGAGATATTAATATAGTTATAAAGTTATAGAAAGAAAAATTATTGAAGCCCCAAATTACTTTTTAAAAATAAACTGAGCCGGGCTCGGTGGCTCAGCCTGTAATCCCGCGCCTTTGGGAGGCTGAGGTGAGTGGATGGCCTGAGCCCGCGGGTTCGAGACCCGCCTGGGCAGCAAGACCTCATCTCTACAATAAATAAAAAAATCAGCTGGGTGTGGTAGCACATGCCTGTAATTCTGGCTACTTGGAAGGCTGAGGCGGAAGGATCACCGGAGCCCAGCAGGTTGAGGCTGTGGTGGCCGGGAGCGGCCACTGCACTTCAGTCTGGGTGACAGAGTGAGACTCTAACTCAAAAATAAAAATTTAAAAATTTAAAAATTTAAAAATAAACTGGCTTGTCAATCTTCAGGATAAAGTCAATTGAGTTGTTTTATGATTATATAATTAACAATTAATTAGTATCCCCATTATTATTGTGTTTCAGCATTCATATATTCCAAATTGTATACATATGTAGTAGTTTAATAAATATCGAGTGTACTCATATTTTAATAATTCCTTTCAGATATTAGAAAAATTACATCAGAAAATTCTAACAACTCACCTAATGCTGAAAATGAAGTTATGGTGGGTAATAAACTGTCTCTGAATATTGTTTATTCAAATATGTTAGTTCTAGGAACTTCAGTTTTTGCTGCATGTTGGATGACTTAATTTTGTTGTTCATTCTTTGGGAGATTCATTCTCTGAGAAATAAATGTCTGACTAGTTAGCCTAACCAGGTTCCAGTTCTGTTTATTCACTGAAAAGCAGACAGCTAATGACAAACATGTTTTACAACCATATTCATATACCAGATTCATTAAGGGTTAGCTTAGTCATATTCTCAGAAACTATATAATATTTTATAAGAGCTTTTCATAGCAGAGTTAAATTAAACCATAAGTGACTTAGAGAATGTTTAGTCTAATTTCCAGAGATTTAATTTTAAATGGTAATTTAAAACTGTTTTCTTTTTTAAAAACATTTTCAGCTGTTGAGGCAAAGGCTTATTTATTTTTAACAATTTTTCAGGTTGTACAGAAGAAACTTGATTCTGTAATTGATTTGACCAAAGAAGGTCTATCCATCTGCAATACAGGTAAATGGTTTTTTTAACTTTTTCTTTAAAAAAAAAAAAAGGTAACAATTCAAATCGCACTAGACCCACTTATGAAGTTTGTTGAGTGTGTTGGTGTGCACATGTTTATAGCTCTATACAGTTGTAGCATGTGCAGATTTGTGTAACTGCCACCATGAAGTACAGAACTGTTCTGTCACCACAAATCTCCCTCATGCTGCCTCTTTGTAGCCACACCTAATTCCTGCCCCTAATCCCTAACCTACAGCAACCACTAATCTGTTGTTCACCTCTAAAATTACATTATTTCACGAATGTTATATAATTGTTTTCTTTCAGTCAGCCTAATTTTCTTAAGGGTCATCTACATTGTTGTTATGCATCAGTGTGTTCCTTTTTATTGCCAAGAGTAGCCCATGGTGTGGATGCATCATAATTTGCTTATCCATTCACCTGTTAGACAGCATCTGGGTTGTTGGGGACTGTTATAAATCTCTTTTCTTCCTGTGGCACACACTTTTTTCCCCAACCATAACAACAGCAGCTGAGAGGATGCATACAGAAGCAGAAACTGGGGCGTGACATGAAAACATAGAGGGAGAGTGACAACACTGTCCTTTAGATTTAAGTAAAATACATTAGATTAAAATGGCTCTTAGTGACCTAACCAAGGTGACTCCATTGTATAGTATTTCTTCCATTTGTCTCCATGTAACTACCCTAACTGTTTCAATAAACAGTACACCACATCTTGTTAGCAGAACTCCAGGAACTTTCCAGTCACTGGCTGTGCCTGGAACATAAAGTTAATAACCAAAACTCTCTAACAGTCAAAAGTTCTCATTTTGGTCACTAAATTGCAAATTTATTGTTCCTAAGTTGCAGTGTATCCTTGCAGTTTTTGTCTTCTATCTGAATTTTCTCAAACTTTGTAGATCATGCATGGATATGGAGAGTAGCAAAAGTATACCTACTGTCTGTAAAGATATTTACCCCTTTTCCTGTTCCCCAGCACAGAGCTTGGGTTAAAGCAATTGGCTCAGCCTTTTGCGCAGATGTGCCCATTAGGCAAGGACTGTGACCAGATTATGTCATGTGCTGTGGTTACCGCCGCACCAGCTTTGCAGACTCTCTTTATTATCAGACTGCTGCCATCCATGAACAGGTTGGCATTAGCCTGGTCTAGGGGAATGTCCCGAAGATTGGGACAACTGGCTTGAGAGACATTCAGTGCATCCTCACAATTATGAACTGGCATTTCCGGATTATCATCAGGCATTAGAGTGGCCAGATTGAGGCGTTGAGTAGGAGAGAAAGTTAGTCTAGGCTGGTCAAGTAGGAGGCTTTGATATTGGATGATACGAGTGTTTGACATCCAGTGGCCAGTGGCTTCCTGAAGTAGGGCTTCTACAGCATGGGTAACAGTTAGGGTTAGGTTTTGACCAAAAGTCAGTTCACTTGCCTCCTTAACTAGTATAACTGTAGCAGCAACATCTTGAAGACAGGATGGCCAGCCAGAGCCACTGGATTCAGCATTTTTGACAAGTAAGCCACAGGTCCCCTCCTGGGTCCTAAGGTCTGGATAGGAACCCCCTTTGCAATTCCCCACTGTTCATGAATAAACAAGTGGAAAGCTGGACTTGGTGGCTCAGCCTGTAATCTCATGCTTTAGCAGACTGAGGTGAGTGGATTGCCTGAGCCTGCGGGATCGAGACCTGCCTGGGCAACTTGGGTGAGACCTCATCTCTACAATAAATCAAAAAATTAGCCGGGCATGGTAGCACGCGCCTGTAGCTCCGGCTACTTGGAAGGCTGAGGCGGAAGGATTGCTGGAGCCCAGCAGGTCAAGGCTGCAGTGGCCGGGAGCGGCCACTGCACTCCAGTCTGGGCGACAGAGTGAGACTCCAACTAAAAAAAAAGACAAACAAACAAGTGGAAAGGCTTGGTAACATCTAGGAGGGCTAAAGCTGGGGCTTGGGTAAGTGCCATTTTTTAATTGTTGGAACGTTGTTTCCTCAGTGGCAGTCCATATCAAGAGTTGATTCCCTGCTGTGGCTGAATATAGGGGCTTCGCAGTCTCAGCAAATCCCAGGATTCATAACCAACAGTACCCCACCGCCCCCAGGAATTCCTCTAATTGTTTTTTCGAGGTTGGGGTAGGGGTTCAAAGAATGGCTTCCTTCTGGGTGGTAGTTAAGGTTCACTTACCCTTTTTCAACTGATATCCTAAATAGGAGACCTCGACTAAGCAGAATTGTGCCTTGTTAGCTGATAGATGGTAGCCCAGGTCCGGGAGAAGTTGCAACAAAGTCTTGGTACCTTTTATTTATTTGTTTGTTTGTTTGTTTGTTTATTTATTTATTTATTGAGTTGGAATCTCACTCTGTTACCCAGACTGGAGTGCAGTGGCTACTCCTGGCCACCGCAGCCTCAACCTGCTGGGCTCTGGTGATCCTTCCGCCTCAGCCTTCCAAGTAGCTGGAACTACAGGCATGTGCTACTATGCCTAGCTAATTTTTGACTTATTGTAGAGATGAGGTCTTGCCAAGTTGCCCAGGCAGGTCTCGAACCCGCGGATTCAGGCAGTCCACTCACCTCAACCTCCCAAAGGCATGGGATTACAAGCTGAGCCACCGAGCCCGGCTGCCTTGGTACCTTTTAAGCAAGTGTCCAAGTCTGCTGTTGCAAGCAAGAGATCATCTGTGTACTAGAGTAAATTACATTCAGGGTGTAAGGCAGAGAACCCTGATAAGTCCTGTTGCAGGGCTTCCCCAAAAAGAGTCGGGGAGTTTTTGAATCCCTGTGGCAACCAGGTCCACATCAGATGACTGGTATCCCCCGAATTTGGATCTGTCCATTCAAAGGCAAAAATGAGTTGACTGACGGGGTACAAGGGAATGGATAAAAATGCATCTTCAGGTCTAAAACAGTAAACCTGGTGTTGAGGGGGAAATAAGCTGAGTAGCGTGTAAGGGTTGGGAACAGTAGGATGGATTGTTTCAACCCACTTATTAACCTCCTTCAAGTACTGGATTGGTCGGTAGTCAGAGATCTGGTTTTTGAACTGGCAAGAAAGGAGTGTTCCATGCCGATTGACATGGTGTTAGTATATTAGCCTTTGAAAGTCTTTTGATAGGAGGAGTAATTCCCCTTTGAGCCTGCAAACTCATAGGATACTAATGTACTCTCACCAGAGTGGCTGATGCCAATAGACTTACCACAACCAGGGGGTGATGTTGTGCCAATCCTGGTGGATTTGTCTCTGCCCAGACCAAAGGATATTCTTGCTGTAGCTTCTGGAGCAAACTTGACGAGGCATTCTCAGTGGAGGAGTTAGAAGTTAGAAGGTACTCTTTAGAAAGTAGAACAGTTAGAAGCATTTGATAGGCAGTGGTAACAAGCATTTCAGTTTTGTCAGGTGAAAACACAATGGTTGCTCTTAGCTTTCGAAGCAAATCCCGGCCCATGATGGGATATGGGCAGTCAGGGGTTGTTAGGAACGAGTGAGTAACCCATTTTTGGCCTAAGTCAATGGTCCGATCAGAAGTGAACTTGCAGTTTGTAATTGCACCCATTGCCCTTGAACAGAAATTTGCTTTTTTGGACATGAGTCCTAACGGTGACTTTAGGACTGAAAACTCCGCCCCACTATCTACTAAGAGTTGGACCAGGTGGCCCACGATAGCTGCATTTACCGTGGGCTCTTGGAGGCCTAAGGCAAAAGAGCCCTGGCCTCTTTAGTCAGAGTTATTTTCAGCCTCCCCAGCAGCAGGCAAAACAAGGACTGGTTTAGGGTTGTCCACTTTTGGGTGACAGGGACAATCCTTTTTCCAACGACTAAATTCTTTGCAATATGCACATTGATCCTTAGCCAGTGGCGAACATCCAGTCCCCTTTTGTCCTTTTCTAGTCTCCCCTTTTTTTGGTGTGACGATCTTGAGTCAGACCGGGAGACTTGGAGGGCAGTTACCCTTGGAGGGCCTGGTGTTTGGCCATCTTAATCTGCCTCCTACGCTGCCTGCTTTTGTTTTTCAGCATCACAGTCATTAAAAACCTTTTGGGCTACTTCGAGCAGCTGGGAGATATTCATTCCTGCAAAGCCTTCAAGCTTTTGTAATTTTTTTCGGATGTTAGGGGCTGCCTGAGCCACAAAAGCCAAATTGATAGCCCGAGCATTTTCGGGTGCCAAGGAGTCAAACAGGGTATAGGTACGGAACACCTCTTGAAGATGCTTGAAAAATCCTCCTGGCAATTCCTCAGGACCCTGAAGGATCTCAGTAGTTTTTGAAAGATTGATAGGTTTCCGGGCTGCTCCCCTCAAACCAGCTAATAGATTTGGGTGGTAGGTATCCAATGCCCTGGACCCTGCCATGCAGGCCAGAAAGCCATTGGGAAGCAGGTGCGTTCTCTTCTGAAGAGAGGAGAGAACACTTGGCTCACAAATGGTGGCCACTTATCGAGACCTGCAAATCTGCTAAACTGCCTGGCACTGGCTCACCATCACCCCAACAACCCCTCAGGTAAATATTAGGGCACTGAAACCCAAATTAATTTCTTAATTTAACATAGGTGTCAGCCTTTTGGTCCTGGCCATCCATGTTAAAATCATATAGTCCTAGCCAGGCTCGGTGGCTCAGCCTGTAATTCCAGTGCTCTGGGAGGCTGAGGTGAGTGGATTGCCTGAGCCCGCGGGTTCGAGACCCGCCCGGGC